CCCTCCCCGTGTGTGTGTTGTTCTGGGCTGTTTGGCGGCTGGCCCGGCTCATGTGAGGCATGTTTTACGTGTGTCTCTCGCCAGCTCTCGTCGCAGCCGCCGCGGCCAGCTCGCAGCCTTCCGCGAACTCCTGCCATACTCGCCAGAGAAAACATGACATCTATCGTGAGCCGAGTCGGCGGCGACAGGCGCATCGTGCGCACTTTATCACAGAGACAGTGCAAATGGTGACGGTAACGCAGTTCATCACATGTCAGTGCGACATTAAAAATGTTCCTCTGTTTATTTGCCACGAAGACAGAGACTGCAATAGTTAGCCCAGTTAAATGACAGACGAATATGCCTTAGAGAATGTCAACTAAGGTATCTTGTCAAAATGTGTCACAGAAAATATGCAACAAAACCATAGTGAGATAACTAAACTAAATCGAACTCACGTTCCTCTTCTCTGCATCCACTTTTCCCGTGTAACCGGCGCCTTGGCAACCTTCCCGGTCGGCTTTACGGCACTTCTCGCTTAGGCTCGCCGGCCGTGCCCGGTTCTCAGAGAACACCTGTGTGTGCTCTGGCACCCACTCCGGCTCCAACCACGGTCGGAAGAGGTCACAGGGCCAGACTGCCTGGCGGCGGGCGGGGTGGGGCCTCGCAGCCCAGCATAGCTTCCTGACACGCCTCAGCCGAGGAATGCCGGGCTGTCTGTTCGTCCGTCCGACCGACCGTCAGCTGTCTGTCCGCCTGACCGGAGCAGTTGTCCGTCCGTCCGTCCGTCTGTCTGTCCGTCTGTCAGTCTGTCAGTCTGTCAGTCTGTCCGTCTGTCCGCTTTCCGTCTGTCCGTCTGTCCGTTTGCCAGTCTGTCCGTCTGTCCGTCTGTCCGTCTGTCTGTCTGTCTGTCTGTCAGTCTGTCCGTCTGTCCGTCTGTCCGTCTGTCCGTCTGTCCGTCTGTCCGTCTGTCCGTCTGTCCGTCTGTCCGTCTGTCCGTCTGTCCGTCTGTTAGTCTGTCAGTCTGTCAGTATGTCAATCTGTCAGTATGTCAGTCTGTCCTGTTCGTCTGTCCGTCTGTAGTTTGTCCATCTATCCGTGTGTCCATCTGTCCGACTGTCCGTTTTTCCGAGTACCAGACTGCTTGTCCGACCGGCTGCCCTTCTATCTGTTCTCTGTCCGGCTGCCCACTCTCCAATGTCCACTGTCCAATATTGGACTGGCCGCTTGTTCTTCCGATTTTCGGTCCGTCCGTCCGTCCGTCCGTCCGTCCGTCCGTCCGTCCGTCCGTCCATCCGGCTGTCCGACCGTTCGTTGCTCCGCTGGCCCCAAATCTTTTCGCTCCGTCTGATACCCTTCGCCGCTGTCCGTCCATCTGTCTGCCGCTGTGGCATGTGTCCAGTAGTGGAAAGACGGCGTAACAAGCGAATCTCACTGGAGTGGCAGGCTGGTGTCACTTCAAACGGGGGTCAGAGATGAATAGAACAGTGGGCATCAATCTTAGTCAAGATGATGCTTCATATGTGATCGGTTGTTTCCGGTATTTATATGACCCGTCTTCTGACCTGGTAAATGTCTCTTATCGGCTATCTGCGCTATTTTCTTGGCGTGTAATTGTATGGAGAAACTGCGTCATGGTACTTTGAGAGACCATAGAAGAGCCCTTGTGGGACCGCGGCAGTGACATGCTCTTCAGTTTCTGTGTTTAATGTCTGCAGAATTCCGCTCTGCCGCATGGCTGCAGCGGCGGTCGCTGTTCTTTGTGATACTCGTCCACTGACAGTTCGGAAGACAGACAGCAGCTCTTTTGTTGGTTCTGTTGACTATACGAAGCGGGGAACTATATGAGCTGCCAGCGACACATATTTGACGCTCAAACAATAAGATAGAGAAAAATGGTGAACATCAGAAAGAAACACAGCAACCCTGAAAACTGTTGACGGTTAGCTGACATGTTGTGCTTGAAGAGCAGCTAGCCTGTTGACGTTTGTATTTTTACTTTGAGTTCCAGACTGGCAATATTTCCGCGGAATCATTTTATCTCGCTGATAAATCTCCCTATCTATCTGTACTGCTTCGTGGACAAAACACGGCTTTGATGATGGGTGGTTGATACCACATTTTGCTGACCGGCGCTGCTCCGTCAGCCACTTTGAAGAACCACCAGTAACTTTTGAAGTCTGCCATATGTAATATGTATACAATATTTTCTCTTAGCTATCTCCATATTTGGTCACTAAAACGTTCAGCTGTGATTTGTCGTCCGTCGAAATATTTATCGCATACCTTTGATAAGATACCATGCGATAATGTCGCCGTGACTGATAACAGCTTCGCGGTTTGGCCACGCATCCGCATAACTCGCTTGCAACGAGCCAGTCGGCCGCGCTGGCTGGTGCCCCCACCCACCCATCCCCCTCCCCGCCCCCTCCGCCCGCCGTGCCTCCGTCTCGTTAACTCGGCAGCGCGATGCGCGCCTAATTTGTGAACGGCGCCAATCGTGGCGCGAAATCTTAATTGGCCGCAGATTATGTGGCGGCGCTGGCGGCGTAACGAGCTACCTTCCGGGACGGCGGGAGCTTTGGGGAGGCGGGGGAGGGTGCTGGATTTGGGTTAGCACTCAGCTTTACGTGGTAATGTTATGAACCCGTATTAACGCTACATGACTCTGGGTTGAGTATATTGCCCTCAGAAATCAATATGGATGAATTTTGGTGTGATTTTTTGTGTGTGGAAAGTGTGGAATTTTTTGTCATTCCTCCTTTCCGGAGGAGCTTCTTTCTCCGAAGATGCTACTCGGTCTCGCTCCCGACTCTCATGGCTGTTATTGAGCTTTGCGGCACAGCCTACCTTCGGGCGCTAACCTATGCTGCCATCTAGGGACTGAATAGAGAACCACTCTTGGCCTGTTGTCTCCGGGTGATACGAAGAGCAGATACGAAGCAGCATCCAACCACACCAAAGCATACAAACGTCGGGGTACTTCTGTTATATAATAGTCATGCACTGCACTATCATACAATTGTGTTTCATGACTCCAGCATCTCATGACTCCAGTTGACGGTCAGCCGATGATCGACCCGGCGTGGGTCGGTCGGGTCATCACGTCACGGTTCGCTCGCCTGTCTGTGACGATTTGTGACGCTGCGCCGTGGCGACGACGTGACGTCAATCGTCACGCACCGTCAGCTCGTGAATTAAGTATGCGCGCCGTCCGTCGGGCGGCTGCTGAGCCGGTGCCAGCCAGAAGCGCGTGACAGTGACGGACGCCCGGGGCGGGGGGGGGGGGAGAGGGGGAGCAGATCGATCATTCTGTCACGGCACTGCGGCTGGCGAACCGGATATGTTTATAGTCAGTCTACTGGCCGGGGCCAGGAATTCGATTCGAACTGCTCGAGTGCCGCCTGCCGCGAATAAGGGTTGGTGAATGATATCAGATCAGGGGCAGGTGGAATGGTGAAAATGCTCTCTGTGTTATTGTTGCTGAATATTGCATCTCTTGGAATTGATGCCTTTGACTGAAGTGACTGTAGTTTCGCCTGATGAATTCATCTGTCAAAGATAGTGATGTAATCGCAAAACCGTTTTGTCAAAACTTTTAAATGATGCCTATCCATTTCATCCTTCCTGATTTTCATTTTGAGATGAGACTTTGCCCGCTTGACGTCTATATTTCTTGTCGTCGCAAACGCCTTTATGTCATCAGTGTCGTATGATAATGTGGGTGGAAACAGATGACTTTGACTCTAACATATGCCGGCGCGGTGTTGATGGACTACTGCAACGCGAGGAGACCTGGGCTTGTAAGAACGTCCCAAACAGCATTTACGAGATGTATTTCTGTCGAACTTTTGTTTGAAGCCCAGAATAGCCGGCCTTTCTGTCAGGTTCAGCTGTTGCTATTTCGGGTGATCGATGTCCTGCCATGATATAATAATGATCGCAATCGCTCCCATAATCCTCCGAGAACCATTTGTTAGAAAATCATCAAACCATACACAATCAGTGTCAGGCCCTTCACCTCAAATCTCTAGACCTTTCTTTTACAAGGTAACTGCCCTGCCTTTACCACACCGACGCGTTATATTCCGGGCGTAGGTGTCGTGCGGAACAGTCTACCCGGCAGGCGCTCTCAGTAATGCGACACGTAGCGACACCTCTGACATGTCGGCCCTTCGTCTGACGCTGCGGTCGAGCCTGCCGCAGGGCTGGCCGGCCGTCTCGCCCTCATCATTGATCGCATCAGGGTCGACGATGACAAACTGTCGTCATACAGCCGCCCTGAACGGAGCCATTCTTCACCTGCCGGAGAGCGGGCCTTCCGTCGGCGGCTCCCCTCTCGGTCATCAGCAGGCGGACGGCTCCGGCGGGGGAGCCCGAGCCGGCCGATAAAGAAGGGCCGAGCCGGCCGGCCGTCTTCACGGCGCACTCAATAGCGGCCAATGGGGGCGGATTATCGTCACCGGCGGCGTCTCTCGCCGGTATAAATGATGTTTATTGTGCGGCTCAGCTGCGAGAGAGATGTAGTTGTCGGGGCGCCACTCGGAGAGTATGGAGATATACGTGGGCGGGAGCGATGAGATATGATGGCTATGATGCCCGGGGTGACTGTTGTTGATATGGCGTGTAGCACTTCTGGCCTCTGGCGCTACTAGCTTTGTATGTGATCTTTTGGGGTTGATCGACTGCAAAGTTCAGAGAAAATAAATCGCTGCTCTTGAGCTTCTTTATCGAAGCACCAAAACACACTTGTGTAGGTGTCTATGGTCACAGCAAATAGCAAATCTCAAAATGAACAAATATATATCGCGATTCGCGACCGACACGCACTTTCCCGACGTGAATATCGTCTCCTAATTTCATTTTTCAAGCATGTAGAAAACAAAGCATCGTTATATGAAACACAACAGCCCCCGTTAGATAATTACTGTACTGCAATATCCAAACAGGAATGATATTGCCGAGCTTATTACGAGAGTCGCAATTTAATTTCACACGGCTCTGTGTTTCTGTGTCTGCAGTTCTGAGTCGGGACGCCTTCTGCTCGGGCTACGTGGACAGCTTCGGCAAATGGAACAACGGCTTCCCGTGCCCGAAGCTGGAGGAGGACGCCGTGTTCTGTTGCGGCACGTTCACGTACCGCTACTGCTGCACCACCAGGGACGAGGCCGACCCCTCCACCTACAGCGACAAGTGAGTCGAACGATACGGCACACTAACAGTCGGGCAGCGGGAAGCATCTGATTTATTTGGCTCGCATCTCGTTCGGACCATCCCACAAACTGCCTGGATTACGAACATCTACTGTCTCACTTTCAGGTTCCATCCATCAAATCGAGATTTCATCAACACGACCTCATGTTTTTATTCAAGATTTTCCATGGTCAGATTGACTGCCCGCAACTAGTCACAAGGTTCTCACTCTCAGCACCTAGTAGAAGGGTGCGCAACATCAGGCTGTGGAATATCCCACCAGCACGAGTCAATACTGTCAAAAACTCTATGTTCGGGCGAATTCCAAACAGCTGTAACGCCCTCGTAGCCGCGAACAGTACAGTTGACTTTTTTCACGGCAACACTTGGAGCCTTCAGAACTGCTGCATATTTATTCGGTCAGGCCGCCGGTGTGTACTAGCATGTTTCATTTTAGTGTATACTTTTAGCTTGTTTTCTTTTTAGTGTTGCTTCGTGCTTTTAACTAGTGTTGTGAATCGTTTGTGTTTTCACCTCATCTTGTTTATGATTTTATGTACCGTTTTGACTGCACCTGTTAAAAGGGCGTTTGCCTGTGGGTGCTTGTAGTAAATACAATACAATAAATACAATTTGTTTTGAACAAAGACTATACATGAACGAATGAATGAATGAATGACATAATTTGCTATCAGAGTCTGTTAGGCACCTTATTGATGTTAATCTCAAAACCTCGGCTGCACTGTATGCAGCAAAGGTAACATCTGTTTTCTTTATTTTTAGTAGGTACCTACCAACGCGAACGTTTATTTTCTAAGTTTGTTTATTTTTATGTTTATTTTTCAGCTTGTTTCAAGGATGCATCTATCCTGACAAATTAAACATGAATCCAGTGGCGGATCCAGGGGAGGGCAAAATGGGCATTTGCCCTCCCCAAAGCCAAATCGTGCGGGCAAGACTATCTTTTTGCCCCTCCCAAAGCATGTAGCGATGAGAAAATATAATACGGCGTCGATGCCGATATGGACGAAAACCAGGGCTTCTTTCCTTGACGGCCATTCTGAAGGAAGGAGCTGACCACTGGCTGCTGATATTTTGGGTCGGTATGCTGATAATACATAGATGGAACTCACTGAACTGAATGCATGCATATGCATTATGCAGTGTGGCCATGGTGTGGGGTAACACGGGGCAAGATGCCCAGTCGGGTTAAGACGCCCACCACCCTTTTCGAAACTACCTAAGCAATCCACAGTTTTGTCGTTTGTTGGGAGCCTCAGCGCTGTGGAGCGTTCCGCGTAAAAAAACGGTGGCGTTCTGAGTCGCCGTTTTCTACATTTTTTCATGTGTTCTGAAAATTTCAGACCAAGCTCTCTCAAGGTCACGAAGTCACTAAGTCACGTCAAGTGACATAACCTAAAAACAGTTCCAATGCTTGCCAGAGCAGCTAAACCGAGTGACGGATTGCTTTGAAACTTTCAGTAGTTTATAAGGGCAACAGTACCTACCTATGTATAAAATGTTAATCACATGATTTTTTATATCAATGACCTAAGGCTAGGTCAATTTTGCGACCTCTCCACTAAAAGTCAAGAGAAAATTGAAAGGCGCCTGTTTTGGGCAAACCTGTCCGTTAGCTCAGTTGGTAAAGCAGCAATGGAGTCCCGGTAGTGAGAGCCCGGGCTCGAGTCGCTCCGGCGCTCGACATTTGAGACTCCTGACGGGGATGGTCTGAGGTTGGTGGAACCAGCCGGCAGCCGCAGCCAGTTGAAGTCAGGAAGGGGACAGGCCGTGTCCGGCTTTGAAGGGCACGTTAACTTTAGCATCTAAATTCTCCAGTCACCCGGAATTACGCGATCGGACGGTAGGGGGCGGGCTCTACGCAACAAGCTCGGCTTAGCGTGGGCTTCCGTCAATCCGTCCTTTCAAACATTCGTGCTAAATTCATAAAAAACGTCATTCTTAACAATACCGAGTTACAACCTAAACAGGACACAGTGAACCGGAAAATGGCACCCGTGACCCCTTCTTATGTCCCTGAGGTCATCTCAGGTCACGAAAGATGTGCAACAGTTTGCAACAGTTCGCTAATAACTTTTGATAGAGGCAATCTAGAACAATAGAAACACCTTAGATGTGTTCAGCTTGACAATACGGATCGACTGATATGCAACACGACCTTTTCCGGTCAGGTCATGGCCTTGACCAATTGTCAAAGTTTTAAGTTCACTCTTTAAGATCAAATTATAACTCGTTCGACGCGTCTTGACGAGAGGAGCACGATGTCGGTAAAAGTAAAATCTTACAAGGTTTGAGTCAAAAGTTATCGCATAAAATCCGTTCCCGTAAAAATCGTCTATTTTGGCAGTTCCCCCTAGGGCCTAGAGGCTAAGCCATTCATCTGAGGTCCAATCTGAGGGAATTATCCAGAAAGAGCAATAACAGGCCTCAAATCAGTTTTCTGGGGTGCTCTAGCTCTATTCGTTTCCGAGTTATGCGCCGGTTTTTTCAAAAGTTGTCGAAACTGGACCTAAATATTGTCGAATTTGGCCTTTGATGGCCTCTGGTGACCTGACCTCTGACCTGACCTTAAAAGTGACTGGGGTTATTTGGTCATTATGTTTCACGATCTTTCAAACGCCGCCTACCGCGTTTTGCTACGTGGCCCAGGAGCCGAGTTAGAAGGTGGATGGGCGTTCAAACATCCCCCAGGGTCGTGAAAATCCAGGAGCCCCAGCGCGGCTGCGCACGGGTTAACATAGGACATTTACCCCATCTTACCCCGTATATGGGTAACATGACCTTTTGTAGTAAATCGCAAAAATAAACAACTTCTCTTCATCAGGAACACTGAGCTCTTGCATACATTCAAGATAAATAACCAATTGATAAAATAGCATCACAAACTCGTTTGTAATAAGGAAAACGTATGAGATGTGCATTTTCTATTGAGGTGGGCGACTTGCCCCGGGCTACCCTACTGGCGTTGTAAAGTCACTTGGTCATTGGCGCGGTGGTGGGTCGGGGTCGCCGATGGTCGGCTAAACTTTTGCCCTCCCCAAACGGATCGGCTGGATCCGCCCCTGCATGAATCCGATTTCTTTTTTAATAAATTTAGACCCGGAATGGGCGTATTTCTGCAGCTAGAAATCACCATAAGGTATGCCATCAGTAAAAATGTATGTACAGTTATTTGCCTTAACCAAACAGAGATAACAAACTGTTGCTACTGGCGTGACTTCCCATTTGATTCTGACATGTGCCGGAGCCAGGCACAACCACACGAGATATGCGAATAGACGTAATCGAAGACGATGAGTGCCAGGCGGACAGACGGATCGATGGAATAGGCGAGCCGTCAACGCGGGAGCGGGCGTCCTTCCGGGCCGATTTAGCGACCGAGCGCGCGCAAACAGCGCGCCCAAATTGCCGCAGGAGAGACATACAGATGGCGAAAAAAGCGCGCGGAAACGAGCGTCGAGCCATGAAAGATGGAAGCAAAGACGGAGAGCTGAACGGGGGAGGGATGATCGTAATGGGTAGACAGTCTGGAAATAGAGAGGGTGGTAGCGGTCCAGGAGAGCAGCACTGGTGAACTTTGGGTGTCCTCACAACGCAACAGGAGTCTCTCTCTCTCTCTCTCTCTCTCTCTCTCTCTCTCTCTCTCTCTCTCTCTCTCTCTCTCTCTCTCTCTCTCTCTCTCTCTCTCTCTCTCTCTCTCTCTCTCTCTCCTCTCTCTCTCTCTCTCTCTCTCTCCTCTCTCTCTCTCTCTCCCTCCCTCTCTCTCTCTTTCTCTCTCTCTCTCTCACTCCCCCTTCTCTCTCTTTCTCTCTCTTTCTCTCTCTCTCTCACTCCCTCTTTCTCTTTCTCTTCCTTTTTCGATCTCTCATCAGTGAGCAGTTTGTCCCATGAAGCATAAGCCGTGTTGCACACACATAGCTAACTTATAATCCCATGTTTTACCCATCCATCACCTCTACAAATACAGCGTCACCGGCCAGCACAAGCTGTGCAAAGTGCGTCCTGTCTGTCCCATCTTCGGCAGAGAAATCACACAAACTCTCCACAACCCAACACATCGGGCACCGTTCCAGACCAGCGCTCGCAGCTGTAATTCATTCGCAGCGCGCGCGTGTGTGTGTGGGTATTTCTGTGCGGCGCGGGGCAATGTTCAGCAGACGGGGAGAGGGGAGAGAGGGGGAGAGAGGGGCGCCTCAGGGCGGACAGAGAGTGCCGAGTGAGAGACGGGAGCTGGCGGGACGCCGAGCGCTCCCATCGTTTCCTGTTCTTTTCCTCTTTCTCTCGCGGGAGTGACAGAGAGCGCAGCCACTGCCAAATCGCCCCGGCCGGCGGAGCAAGTCGTAGAAACAGGGACGGTTCCGTAATGGTGCAGGGTCACGGTGGCTTCCAGCACTAAGAACCGACATTCTTTTATGAGGTACAGCTGTGATTAAAATCCAGACACCGCTTTCAACTCAGCGCGGATTTAGGCACTTAACAGCTCCTCAAAACTCTGGTTTTACTTATCTCTTTTAAAACAATTGCTCCAGCTTCCAACAGCAGCGCGGTGGCTTTTAAGAGCGATGCTTCCTGGAGCAAATAACGCTGGCAGGATTCTTTTGTTTGCCGGACGAGCATTGATCAAGTCACACACTGCAACCACTCATCACATCATGATCTTGCCTTGTAACAGTGAATGAAACTATATGGGCATTTGTTATCATTCAACCAGACACCATCAGTGAAGATGTAAGGATATAAATGCATGAATGGCAAAATTTATTACGCCTCCTCAGTTATGACACCACCAAGAAAAGAGGTTATGGGCTGGCCTGAATCACACTACAGATGAACATTTCGAGCCAACGTCCATATGAATTGCGGTTGAGTGAGCGTTATGACCTCGTCTCGTAAGCTTCACTTAGTTGCTGTATGGCTTTTCATACCAGCGACGTAGATTTCTGCACAGACCGAAGTGTTAAAAATGGCTGTGTTATTTAACTGTTTAGTGTATAGTGTTCAGTGTAGTTCACTGTAAAGTGTAGTCTTATTTTTGTGGGCATAGATAACATGAATCTAAGTCTATGAATCTATGAATCTATGATTCATATTATCTATGTCGTGGGATATCTATAAGCTCAAATGGTCAATGATTTGTTTGTTTTCTGGTGAGACCTTTCATAGACTGACATCAGCTTCTGAAAATTTACACTGCATTCATTTCAGGGAGGACATGCCCTGACGTAAGGTCTCTGAAATACTGCGGATATGAGCTCAGTGTTGTGACATGACGTCGGCCCCTGTTGTGACTCGGTGCGAATGTACGGCAAGCTCTTTATGTGGCGGAGAGGAGTTGTGATGTAGTCCTTGATGTAAGCTGATTTACAGTTGTGGTGACCCAGTCTTCTTAAAGCTGTTTTCTTACGTAAATGTGTCATGCAGGAACGCACAGCGTCATGAAAAACTCGGACAATCACTTTTGTACGATGCAGCACACAAAACCACACAAATTGACATAACCATTCCTTGCTCTCCGTCAACCTGCATACTTTAATTTTTATGACAACTTCCTCACGCTTACAGCGCCCAGCCAACACTTATTCATGCCACATCTCATTCATTGCCATCATGCCAGCTCGACATCCTTCCGGGAACCACACCCTCACCTTTAATGGAGCCGAACTTCTGTCGAGCTCCGAGGAGGTTTTTCGCCGGTTCCTTCCAATGCCGACGGACCACTCCACTGAAGAGGTGCTTCCCTCGCTGGAGCGGCGTGCCGGCGGGCCCGGCGACGGCGGCTTGTTAGCTGCGGTCGAATGGTCCGCTCGTTAGAGCTGGCTGCGTCCTCAGACACGTCTTCCCAGGAAGGCCGGGTCCCCGCACTGGCCACAGTCGCTGGACCTTGATAACTCGGTGCTTGGAGAGACGAGATGAGGACTCGCTCTTATTGATCATGGTTATGCAATGCGGAGATGAGGAGTGATTTAAAAGAATCTAAATCAGAGTATTTCAGATTTTTACTTCTGCTGTACAGTGTGCAATATTTGCCGTCCTTCTTGACCTTACATATTACACTTAATGAACATGATTTTGTTTTGCGCATTCTGTACACATCTAATGACCTCAAAGGAATGTCGAGTCGATGTCCTCCCGTTTGACTGCGATGCTGACTGTGACTCCAATGACGTCATTGGTCACCAGCAGTATGCCGTTGGTGATGGGCGTCGTGTTCGGCACCATCATCACCGTCATCCTCGTCATCACGGCCATCTGCATCTTCTGGAAGTCCTGCCGCTCCTACAAGAAACGGAGAGCCGATGGAGGTTAGTAAAACTAGAACACGAGCTGCAAGGTCAAATGCACCGCTTGTAACGTACAATGTTCCAATGAATTATGAACTGAAATGCACCTCTGACTTGTCAGCTGAAACCACTCCCTGGCGGCTACGACGTTCCAAATACCACTCTCCAATTTCGCATGAATGAAATGGGAATCGTAACCATAAAACACAAATGAAACCACACACGCAACAGGGCCTCTCCCCGCGCCCCTGACGCGTCTCTCTCCCGCCGGCGCTCCGCAGGACCCATGTACCGGATGCACTCGTCATCGACGGGCAGCGGCGTGGCCAACATGTACAGCTACTCGACGGGCTCTCTGGGGAGGCTGGACAGCCGCGGCGGGATGCTGACGGACGACGAGGACGTGCTGCAGGAGGTGGACGAGGTGGCCGTGACGCACCCCTGCCGGGTCAGCACCATCAGCACGGTGCCACGCAGCTTCACCTCAGACCGCTGCAACAGAGGTCAGTGGTGAGGGGGGGGGAGGACCAGCGCTCAGGAGTGGAATGACGGTGGTCGGTTTTGTAGTGCAGGCGCCGATCATTTTGCTTCAGACATTCATAAGATTGCAGGTCTTCCCGCTCCGCTCTGCTTCGTTTGTTAGCCTATGAATCATGAATTTCATCTTAACTCGTAAATCACGGAGAGCTGTCGTTATCAATGATTACCATAACGGGCACTTGGTGGCCATCCAAACCATCGACGAATGCAAATATGAAAGCACTCCAACTGTCCAATTTGTTAGGACGATGACACATTTCCGTGACCGTTTATCTCACTTCCCCTCAGTCTCGTTCGCCGATTCTGTGGGTAACAGCTCCATTTCGACTGCTACCGACAACGAACGACAGCTGTTCATCGAGCAGTCGGGCGCACCACCGCCTTACAAGCACGCCGACTACCTGGAGCCCGAGCAGCAGCGCATCATGACCTTTCCGCGCTCCTTCTCGGCTGGCCAGCCGCGCGAGCTCGACGTCGGGCACTACCAGGTGCCCCGCTCGCCAAACGACGATACCCTCTACCGCTCGACAAAAATTCTGAAAACCGCCCTCACATTCGG